GGCCTCTTGCTCCGAATAGCTGAAGTCGGAATACGTCGACGATCTGTCTCTGAGAAGCTCACTCACATTCTGCTGAAGTAGTTGATGGTGGCGATCGAAAGAGATTTGGAGGGCACGTTCGGTGCTGGAAGACGGCGCCAAGGAATTCGAATCAGACCCGATTACTCGCGATGACGGAAACTTCATACTCCCTGGGTTGCTCGCAATTACAGTGGTTTGGGTCTCCTGAGAGACTGGAAAGGGTTGATGTTCGCCATGATCTGAGAACACTCGAGACGCAAATGTTGACCTACTTGTATCCACGGTAACGTCTACCCGGTAAGGGTCTCTACTTCGGCTTAATTTTGCATTACTCGGCGCTTGGATCGACGATACTTGGCTAGGTACGGGACTAGCTGTGAGTACGCGACCCCTATCAAGAGCAGAAAGCATAGTAGGTGGCCGTTCGTCATCAGGATCACATTCTGTGTCGACGGATGAACGTCGTGACACGTCCAGCGAGCCAATGTCATCCAGAATTGCCCCAAGTAGCTCTAGCAATTGACAACGCTCAGGCTCAGTGGTAGCCCGAGGGAGTTGGCTAGGGAAAGGGATAACCCCAGGTTCCGCATGTGGTTTTTTTATCCACTTGCTGTGAATCTCTTTCGCCCCCTGGGCAAACAAGTCCTGTATCACCACATGCTTTCCCTTGAAGTATTGAACTTTGAGGAGTTCATAATATCTTAATTCTGGATAATATGGCAAAGACCGTTTTTTCTGCGGAGACAAGTCTGGAGGAGCTCGCCTCAAATTGAGGTTATACGTATTAGAAAATTCGAGAAACCAAATGTCAAACTCAGCAACGTTAAGCTGTTTTTTAGATGGCGTAACTGGGTATGGAGAGATTGGTTCAAGTCGCGGGTGCGGAGCCATATTACTGCATATATTGCCTTACGACTCGGCACGACTCGGCAACCCAAACAGACGGGACAAGCTGACAGGACAGGTTCCACGGATGTAACTGAGAGGCTAAAGTGAAGGGCTAGTTAGGCAGGTCATATTAGCTTTTAGGCCAATCAGTGCCATTTACCATCACACAAATTGCGTACGTACAACACACTAGGTTATAGGTTAGACGGTAGCGAAGAGGCACAGGCAGCAGGGAAACTGTCAGTGATCTTTACCAAATCCCGAATCTCCACTGCGGAGGATAGTTTCATGTATAACAACCGACTCTGACTCAGTTCGATTGGATGTCGACCACACGATCGTTAAGTGTGGGGGGAGCTAAGGATAAAGTAGAGTAAGACACATCAAATCGATTGGTAGTAAAGCGATCGTAATAACGAGAAGTGTTGGTAAGGTTGGTAAGGTCGGTAAGGATGTTCTAATGACGCAAAACCGAGCCAAAAAGGTCTAGGGAAGCTTAGAAAAGTTTAGGGAAGCACGTTTTTGGTGTTGGATAAGGCAGATAGGCAGATGGGCAGATGGGCAGATAGGTAAGCCCTTGCCAAAAGAGAAAGTGGATTTGGAGGTCCATAATGCTAGATCTTAAAGGTTGCGGGATGGCCCGAGCTCTTCAAGTGGATATGTAGGTACCCAATTTATTTGCCCTTGCTGGCCTTGTTAGGCTTGTGCGGCCTAAAGGCGGGGAACTGCGTGCGGGGTTCTACCATAAATGACAGCTGCAATACCTAGACTTAGGTACCTATGGTAGGCTCGGAAAGTTCGGAGTGTTTGGAAGGCTTGGCAGGCTAAGGCACTTCTATTCACAAATCGCAAAGATTATTCTAACGACTTTTGCCCCGCTCCGTCAAAATGGCGGTCCAGAGGATCTTCGGTCTTCGGTATTTTTTCTCGTCTTATTGTTCTTTCGATTTACGATCACCATCGATCGCGTAAGGCTGGCCGACCCTGCCAACCTGCTTGCTTGTTTAACATTACCTTTCAACCATTCAGCCATTCTGCGCTAACTACCTACGTATCCCTGATCGGCTACTATTTCCGAATTGCATTTTCTATTCATCTATTGGTAGCCTTGGCTTTTTTTTGGGGCGAGGCGGAAAGCTCCCAGTCCCAAACCAAAGCCCGAAGAAGTTCCAAGTCCAAGTCCAAGTCCAAGTCCAAGTCCAAGCCTTAGGTAGCTTGAGCCTTTGCGAGGCGGGGTCTTGTCTCATAGGTAGACAATCGGAATCATCGCTCATGTCATCAGAGCAAGACATCAATCAGGTCCCTATTCAGGACCTGACCCCAGAACAAGCTAGTCATATTATCCACTCTCACCGTAAAGTACGATATGGTATGTTAATTCATCCCACGCTTGTTGTTCCGCTGCATCGGGCTACATCTGCAGAGTCTATAACTGCAGAACCTATACTTTCACGTTAACTTACGACCACTTTCTAGGTACGGCATGTTGGCCATGCAGGTGTGTCGCGACTAAACAACTCGATCTACCCTCGTTGTATTATAGGTGAATATGTAAACTAAATATCTATCTAGGCAGCGGAAGGTGAAATGCGACAACAAGCAACCATGTGAAAATTGTGTCAAGAGGGAGCATCCGCAGCTATGCTCTTATAAACCCAATCGTTCGAGCGCCTCTAAGCAGGCCTCCATCTCGGTCGAGGGTAACCAGGGGAGAAAAAGACCTCATTCTCCCGTCGATAGTATCAACAATGATCAGGGTAGTGACCATCAACCTGAGGGTTGGGCTCAAACAATAGGTATGCTCTATCAAGTATCTAAGGTATCTAAACGTGCTGACCGGCGTATATCGGAAGATGAACCCGAGCCTGTAGAGATGACACGCTACGTTGGCCAAAATAGTATTCCTGCGTTATTGCGAGATCAGCCGTCCCCGATAGATACCAAAGATGGGGTTGACATTCGTCGTGATATGCGCCCAATCCTCGGGCTCGACAACTCTGCGCCGTTCCCGCTAATGTCCTTGAAGCACCTTGACCGACTAACACAAGACATATTCTCCGAGCTTCCTTCAGATCGAGAAGTAATGATGTAAGTAGTGAAAGCAAATTACTAGCCGGATTGTTACTGGCTCTCGAAAATAGTACACTAACACATCGATAACATAGTCTTTTCAGAGCTTATAAAGAGATTGCGCACCCATTTTGGGGATTTGTCATTGACATCGACGATTTAGAATCTCGCATTATGATCTATCTCGAAGAACGAGCTAAAAATGCTAGGGAACATAGCAAATCAAGCCGGCGTGTCTCCGCATCGTGGCTGGCTATCCTCTTTTCTGTAATGGCCGTCGGTTCACAATACCGCGATTCGCCATACCACATTCGGACGAGAGATGCCCAGAGATATGTTCAGATATCCTTCCACTTCCTTAGGCTTGGGAACTTTTTATTGCGGTATGCCAGAAGTCAATTAAATATACTCTTGTTCGATCTAACCATCTTTATAATAGACCCAACCTAGATTCTATCCAAGCGCTCCTGCTGACGGGATTCTGTCTTCTGAACGACATGAAAGCCGAGGCTTCGTGGGCCTTGATCGGGATGACGTGCCGATTAGCACAATCACTTGGTCTTCATCGGGCTATTGCACAAGACGAGTCCAGCTCGGTTGAGTTATCGTTGAAAACATACGCGCGGAGAAAGTTATGGTAGGAATAATCCAAGGACTCATTAAGTCTAGCCACTAATATAACCTAGGTGGACTTGTGTGTGGCATGATACGTTGACATCGTTGTCTTTCGACCGGTAATAAATCCTAATCCGCTATAGTCTAACCGCGTCGCTTATAGTTGTTATAGTCCTAATATGACCAACATTCAATGCTGTCCGATTCCGTTGTCGCCTAGCTCTAACATAGAGGGGTTGTCGTATCTTGAAGCGATGTACACCTTGTGCGAATTAATCTCGCAACAACTCAACCCAGACGCTACTGCAGACTACTCGTACGAAACGATCCTCGAGAATTGCCGGGCTATCGAATCCATCCGAGAAAGGGTTTTCCCCCAGTTACGCAGCAAAGAAGCTTGCAAGAGTGTGGTTGATAAATTACAGCACTACGCCATACGCTTGCACACTGCCTTCGTGGTATCTGTGTGTTGTCGTCCCGCTCTCCGTCGAGATTGTACTAGGCTAGAGGCTGTCGAGAAAAAGGCCTTGGCCGATAAATGCAAGGATAATCTAACAGAGACTGTACGAATGTTTCTATCGATGCACCAATTATCGTTCATCCCGACTCGGAGTTGGGCATTCACATATCACGGACTTTCTTCCGCTGTTCTCCTTGGCATATTATGTGAGACGAAGCAGGATCCCGAAGTTCGTCGGCTCCAAGGGGATCTGATCTCAGCTCTATCAGCTGCGGCGGCAAAGGAGCAGACAAGCCCTGCCCCAGAGCACATTCCTAAGATCGACAGGGATATTGAACTATCAGGCCCCCTCTCGAGAGCGTTGACGGCACTGAAGAACATATACGACTATGGATCCTTACACGGAGCATCTGGTATCAAGAGCGAGAGCGCATCTGGGGCTCGCACGCCGACTGGAGCAGCAATTCCCCAAGGGCTTCAAACTATGAATCAACAGTTCCGCATACAGCCCGGATTCGACAGACACCAGGATGCTGCTCTTGCTATGGCGGAGTTGCAGAATGGAAACAACATCCCAGATTTCTCAACGTGAGTTGTTTATCGCTTTCACTAAACAAGTTACTGACTGATTAGTAGGACGATGCCGTATCAACCATCAATCCAACAGCCGGTTGGAATGCCAGACATGAACCAACTAGACCCTACGTCCCTGGCGCCCATGGACCTTTATGACTCAATATTCTGGGGTAAGTAGTCAAATCTATTTTCCCCTCCTTCATAGGTTACCTAATTACCCTCAACAGAATCACCAGATCCCTTTTATACCGGAGTTGATATGAACTTCGACTTCCTCCCGCAAGCTCCCCCCGGACAATCGCAACAACAATTCTACTTTTAGATTTATGTGGTGAGTCATGGCGACCAGTAAGTTGGACGATCGGACGATTTATGTGTTATACTATACTATTTATATTCTTCCATGTCGAACCTGGGATTATGGTTCACAAAAGTTTGTCTTGACCATGGGTTAGCGAGGAAACTCTACTGGTGTCTATCGGAGTTTGTCGGATATCATGACCAGAATCAACGGATATTTACTGGTCTCTTTTATCTGTAAACATGTGCATATTATGGTTTCAGATATCCTTGTTTATCTAGGCGTCTATATCTATTACCACTGTGGAATCGATCAACAGGCATAAATTTGTTAGTTGCCTCTTGGACAAACGATATTAGTTTATTTTCTCTTTGCTATGCTGGCTTTGATCTAGATAGAGGTGCCCCTGGGCCGGATCTAATGTCTATGATAACACGTCTAGTACGACCTTGCACATCTCTACACACCTCTCTTCCTCTAACCTCTGCGCTACCAGCTGCAAGCTTACGGGCATTCCATGCACTGCTTCGGGATTATCTACTCGATAGTCAATAATGAGGCCCATTTAATAAGTAGTCGGAGGTACGAATATCAGTACTTACATTCGGCCTGGGTAACCTTGTCTAAATCCGAAAGGGGTTTGTATGTATCGCCTAACACAACATCCACAGCCTTGTCGACGGTCACGCTCGTAGGAAAGGAGATGCAGGAATAGTCTAGCACGTTGTAGACGCCAGTGTAGCCAACTAAACAGACAGTAAGCTCTCCATCGCTGCCCTGATAGAAACGAGTAGCCGCCTATTCCTTGTCAAGGAGATTTAGGGGACTTACCATATCTGACTTTGCCGTTCTCAACAGTGCTATACGGCGTCGTGGGACATAGGATCGCATCGATACCTGCGCTCAACCACCGATCAAGGTACCTCTTCTGAAACTGTTGACGCTCGAGGTGCAGATCCCAGTACTCGAGCCCGCCTAGCTCCCGCGCATTGGCGTACATCTCCATTTCGGGTCGTAGCGGCTCCCCCGTCCTCTCTAGTTCCCGCTTGATCGCTTTACCACCATCCGCCAAAAACATGCGGATTAGCAGTTCGGTGCCTTGTGCCTGGTCCTCGGGCGACCACTCCACCATCTCGTGCCCGGCTGCCTCGAGCTTCGCCACCGCGTGTCGCAGCGCTCGCGTCACGGGCGGCGTGGGCACTACCGTGCCGTCGTGCCACATGACGCCGATTTTCAGCTTCTGCGGCAGCGATACGGCTCGCCAGGGGATGGGCAGACATCGCGGGTCGACGCGCCAGGGCTCGGCATCGACGACGGTCTTGGAGTAGAGCTCGAGGTCGGCGAGGGTGCGCGTCAAGGGCCCGTTGACGGACTGCACGGCCTCCTGCCCCGGCATGCCGGAGCGGCAGCGCAGCGTCGGGAACCGGCCGAAACTGGGCCGCAGCGTGAAGATGCCCGCGCAGGCGGCGGGGATGCGCAGCGAACCGCCTATGTCGGTTCCGACGCCCAGCGGGCTCCCCTTGAAGACGATGAGCGCGCTCTCGCCGCCGGAGCTGCCGCCGCTCGTTAGCTTGCGGTTTCGCGGGTTGACGGTGCGGCCGAAGACGTTGTTGACGGACTCGGCGATCATCATGGCCGTGGGCACGTTCGTCTTGACGTAGAAGACGGCGCCGGCCTCGCGCAGGAGGTCCGCTAGCACGGCGTCGTATGCCGCCGGGTCGCCGACGTGCGATGCGAAGCCGACGGTTGCGTCTAGGCCTGTTAGGTTGAAGTTATCCTTGAGCGAGACGGGTAGGCCGTGCAGAGGCCCGATTGGTTTGCCCGTCTGCGCCAAGTGCTCGTCCAGCTTCTTCGCCGTCTCGAGAGCTCGGTCGAAACACGTCTCGGAAAGACAGTTGATCAGCTGGTGCGCCGCAGCGGCGCGTTTGCAGAAAGCACGCGTGACGGCTTCGGACGTTAGCTCCCCGGATGCGAGCTTCGGCAGTAGTTGCACAGCTGTCTGGTTCGTGATAGCCAGCTCGTCGGCCGTGAACCATCCCGAGGCCTCGGGGAAGCCGGTGACGTCGTCCTGGTCGGCGGGCGGGAGGAGATGGCTCGGGATGCGCCATTCTTGGGGTATAGAGTTCGCCAGCTCCTGGCGCTTCTTGGCGGCGAGTTCTTCCCAGTTTCCTTTCGACATGTTTGCTGTTATAATCTTGTAGGGTCTATAATGTTTCCCTTCTGGCCTTCTATAGGAAGAATGTCTAGCGTAATGATACAAAACTAAAACTGTAGATAAAGTAGCTAAAGTTAGTTATTAACCAGCAATGGAGGTCTTGCTTATTTTATACAGCCCTGGGCTTTGAGAGAGCTACCCGTACTAGGAGGCCCTTTCCCCGTAGCAGTTACTAGAGGACGACGGTTGGATTTTAGATCACTTACAAGTTTGGCGTAGAAACAGTGGAAAGCTGTGTTATATCCTGGATCTGTGGTAGTGACCCCTGGTTTAGAACTTTAGGGAGTAAGTAACCTATCTTATTATGGAAAATGCGAAGTCTAGCATATATCGAGTGACTGTCTAAGAGCGGATGTTCGATGGCGATTTACTTATTATAACATAACGTAGTTTATATTATGTACGAGATACACCTATGACCTCAACGTTATACATTATACGGCAGAAGTTGGAAATATAGGTTGCTGCTTAACTCGAATCCCACTCGAACGCATCCGATATCGTTGGTATTGTCATATTGTCACCCAACTCCGTCTGCGCTAATACGACCCGAGCTGAAACCCGTCTTCTCCGCCTGTGAAGCTTTAGTTTTCTCTTTTTCTTTCGACGACAGCGAAAAAGGAAAGATAACATCCGACGTCTATCGGATCTTCTGGCTATCTTCCCCAAATCCCCCCCAAAAAACAATAGCGGAGCGCCATTATCTCCAAGATAGACAATCCAGTAAGTCGTAACTAAGCCCCAACCCCTCACGAATAGCAAGTCGAGGCGAGGAGAAAAAGACGCCGAGCCAAGATTTATCTTCTTTAACCCCTGAAGCGCTCGGTTCCTATGACCTATGGACCTATCTCTTATCTCGAGCTTCCCCGCAAATTCCAGATTCCAGTATCATGGATCCTAACCCCTAGCTTACCCGATGTAGTCTGTATCTAACCTAGCAAATCTCTCCAGGAACAAGCATCTCGGCCAACGCAGATAACTTATCATCGTAGCGCGTTCTCGCTGGCTCGATCAGGTTTGGTACGCGGGTATGTATACATATCTTACGTAGGTGTATATATATATAACATGGCGGTCGCTGCTTATTACCGCGACATATTAACCTGAAAACAAAGGAAAGGGAGAAAAAAGGTCTTGCTGCTGTGGAACCGCAATCCTCGCGGTTTTGTTTAATTTCTCTTTTGATTGGACGGGAAAGACCCAAAACTCGAAAAATGGCGACGACAGCGACGACGACGACGACAGCGACGAGGTCTAGGCTGCGGGAGTATTTCCATACCGAGTATCAACCTGGAGAGCAGAAACTCGTGCAAAAGATCGATTTCTTCATCTTGACCTTTTGCTGTTTGAGTTACTTCACCAATTATGTATGTATTGGCAATAACCCCTATCCTCCCTTGTCCAGCACTATTACGATCTTCCTTGATGTTGGAAAGAGGTCCTGGTTGATTGTACTGCTTGATTAATTAAAACATATAAATGCAGCTAGATCGCTCCAACCTCAGCAATGCCTACGTCTCGGGTATGAAAGAGGATCTGGGCTTCGTAGGCGACCAGCTGAACCAGATCAACACCTGCTTCACCGTCGGCTACGTGATCGGCCAGATCCCTGCCAATCTATCGCTGCACTATATCAAACCGCGATATTTCTTCCCGGCCTGCATGTTCATCTGGGCTTGCTTGACCATGGTCACGGCCTCGGTGCACAACCCGCAGAGCATCATGGCCATCCGCTTTTTCCAGGGCATAGTCGAGGCTACTACCTTCGTCGGCACCCACTACATCCTCGGGTCCTGGTACACGGAGCGCGAGCTGGGGAAGCGCTCTGGCATATTCACTGCCTCTGGCCTGGCTGGGACTATGATTGGAGGCTTTATCCAGACGGGCATTCACTCCAGTCTGGACGGTAGAAACGGCCTCCGTGGATGGCGCTGGTTGTTCATTATAGATGGCATCGTAAGTCTTAACTTTTCTCTATGCTTCATTATTTTATTAGCTGTTTTTCAACTTTATTTTATTTAGAAGTGCTGTTTATCTTGTTTCTTGGGCCCCTGATTCGTGTGTGTTTGGTATTAAAGGGAGATAGGGAGATAGGGAGATGGGAACGCGAGCATGCAAGGTGTTGATGCGTATTTCTAGATCACGTTGCCAGTCGCACTCTACGGTTTCGTCTTCTTCCCAGATACGCCATCAACAACTGAGGCTTTCTACCTTACCGAATCCGAGAAGGCTTTGGCCGTATCTCGCGTGCCACCGGTAGAAGATCGATCGCCAATATCTTGGGCCTTCTTCAAAAACTCCTTCTCGTCTTGGTTCTTCTGGGGGTTCGTTGTGCTCTGGATCATTGCTGGCGAGACCGAATCTTTCAGCTCAAATTCTCTGCTGGCCTTGTACATGAAGAGCCACCCGACGACGAAATATACGGTCCCTCAGCTGAACAACTACCCTAGCGGTGTGCCTGCTATTGGTATTATATCAACCTTGTTCTGGGCAACGCTTACAGACTACCTTAATGGGAAGCGTTATCTTGTCGGTTATTTCATTGGCATCACAGGCGTGGCTACTTCTGCCATAATCCTAGCCGCTTCCAAAGACCCGACGAGTTCGGCATCGACTTCTATGGTGTTTGGTGCTTATTACTGGGCGGGCGCCGTGTATGCCTGCCAGGCTACCTTCTTCGCCTGGGCCAACGATGCTCTCCGCTACGAGGATCAAATGTTCCGAGCTGTTGTTCTGGCTGGTATGAACCTGGGAAGCAACGCTGTGAACGCCTGGTGGAGCATTGTCTTTTACGGAGCGTCGATGGCACCGTGGTTCACTGTAAGTCCTTACACTACTTACAACATTTCGAAATTGTTGAAGACTTGTCACACTAACCACTCTGCAGAGGGGAATGTGGGCTATGATTGCCGTGTCTATCTTGTTAGCACTCTGGACTGCCGGGCTGTCTTACACGACTGCCAAACATGAAAGGATACGGAAAGCGGAATTCGAGCAATCTGGTGCCGATGGCCGCAAAAGTGTTACCGAATATGCATGATACTTACGGCCGAGGGCGTCTCGAGAGGCTCGGTACTTAATAATAGTAAGATGGAGTGTTACTACTACTACTACTACTACTACTACTACTACTACTACTGTTACCATTAGCGCTCAGGATTAATGGGACCACGATTTAGGAAACCGAAGACATGATAGGGCGAAGGCTCATTATTAAAAGAAATGACAGTTAATCTGACAGACCTCGAAGAAAGTCCCAGTTTTTATTGTTTCTTGAGCATATGCCCAGGGTATTGATACGGCCACAAAATATTCGAATTGGCGATGCTTGATTATCGAGGATAAATCAGTTCGACTACACAACCCGACGACTCGTTGGTAAGTAGCGTGGCTTTCTTATGTTTCGACCTAAGACCTCCTAAGCACTTCACGTCCTGATACTTTACCTTGGGATTGTATAGTGCCCAACGGAGTATGTTATCGTTGTTGAGCTTGGCTTCGTATGTGACACAAGTTCCTCCGGCAAACGCGGTATTGGGTTCCTCTTCTACCACCAGTGAGAACTTGATCTAAGATGTGGTATGCCTAATACCTACCTTACTTCGGACAGCGGCGCAAAATATGCCTTTTTACATTTTATCCCGCACAGATGCGCATGATACATAAGAGTAAAATAGACCACCTAGTATGCCACCTAGTATGGATGAATATATTTCTCACTAGCGCCGGTATATTCGGGTTGCTTATGATTCGGTAGAGATATCGATGTATACTAAATTAGGAAAACACGACAGTTGTAGCGGAGGAATGATATAGGATATAGGGTATAACGTATGATAATCTTTCGGTGTATCTGCGCGCGCTCGCTTTCTAATCCGCCGCTCAGCGGACTCAAGCCTAAACTAAGGGGCCAATTTTCCGATCGTAAACGAATGAAGATATCTCGTTTATACTTGAGGGATCTCGATCGAGGCACGCTCTTTATGATTCGAAGAGGGATTGGAGTCGAGGCGAGCTGCTGTGCACATCTACGGCTTCTATTTCTTTTTTTCCTCCTATTGCTGTTAGCGACGGTTACAAACCCGACCTACCCCCACCAGTACTTATCTGTGAATGTCATTCCTGTGTTGCTATTCAATTATCTACGTTTTATTCCTGCGTGAAGGGCTCGGCAATACCTATCGGTGATGGGTTCGACAGCGTTGGACGAAGCAAGGAGCTCGATTCGGCAGCTCTGCGGCGCGTTACGGCTTTATCGAGTTGATACGCAAGTCATCCTTCTTAATACAAAATCCTCTTTGCCTAGGCTATGAGTCATTGCGTCCTGGTTCTTTCTCGGGCAGACAGGTGTTGCATGCGGCGAACTCGGTTGGTATTGGGATGGTCGTCTTAGTTGTACAGGACACGAGGTTCGCTCTTTGGAAGGGGGGCGCTGGTCGACGTAAATATTAGACGAAAATCCTGGTTCGGAGGAGGTTCCGAGACGACTTTGATTGTCGTGTCGGATTTCGATAGGGGGGTACGGATGCGGAAGGCCACGGTAAGATGTGAGTGGTGGCGGAGAGGCCTGCAAGGTGTGAACAAGATACTTATCAGTGGCGGCTTCGTCTGCTTTTGGGACGCTCTAGTGAAGGAGGACCGCGTCTGGGCGGCATGTAGCCCCCTCCCCCCCAAGCTTACGGGAGTAGAGTAACCCCCTTCCTTCCCCTGGAACCTTGGACGCAATGATATGCCTTCTTGGATGCGGGTTGATCTCCGCAACCATAAGACGGCGCTAAGTGGCGGGAGCCAACGTATCTGCCTAAGGTACTAAAGAAGTAATATATGTCTAAAGGTGGGAATAGTGATATGTACCTATATATGTAATAGATAGAGCCCGGCAACGTTTGCCCGCAAATACCAGGGGTCCCGTTTTACCCCCCTGGACTATCTCATAGCAACTTGTAAGTGCTACTGGTGAGATGTTCTATCAACTATACTAGTCATGACAAACAGATGGCAAATATATACATGCTACTACATACGTAAGATATTATCAACTGCTACGTAATATCCTTTTGCATTGCACAATGTCAAACTCGATCTCTTGATTTTACATAGAATCTCGTCGGGCGTCATGCGACAAAGTTATCATAGGCTTTCGCCACCATTTACATGCATTTATGCACGATATTATTATATGCGTAATTACATGATAATGAGTTATTGAGGTTACATGCAACGGGCTACCTACCTAGGTAAGGTACCTAAGGTAGGTACCTACATAGGTCGTTACCTATGTAGGTTCCATACACCCGTAGCATGTTGCATGTATGTAGGTATTTGGACTAGGTAGCGCTGAGCATAACACCTTAAGAGTCGATGACACCTCGAACCAGAGCTTTTAATTTTAAACTTGTCCCTAAACACCAACAAAGTCGTCAACAAAGTCATCCACTCGACAACATCAAACCGTACGAAGGAAGACGCGGTTTTGATTATAAGTACCGCAGAGCTACCTCACATTATTTCTACAGGCAAGAAATCAGAAGCGTGTCTCTACCTGGGTTAGTATGCGCTCAACCCCCCTAAAACCGAGATCGAGTCTCGGCAGAGACATAACGTTTGGAACGGGGAAGAGTACCCAGAATTAATATCTAGAGTAGCCGATACATATGTGTATATCACATACATACCTAGGTATGTAACAAACAAGCACAATCATGTCACTTCACCTTCGAAACAAACGCCAACGAGGAAAACAAATAGCTGCCTGGGTAAGGTCACTTCTTAGCGAAGTTTGACAAGAGACGCTTTTTTCTTTCTTTTTTTTTTTTTTTTGGGGGGGGGGGGGGGGGGGGGGGGGGGGGAGAAAAAAAAAAAAAAAAAAAAAGAAAAAAAAAGAAAATTAAAAAAAAAAAAAAAAAACAAAAATTTTAAAAAAAAAAAATATAA